ATTATTAAATTTCATTATTATATTTTTGGTTGTATGGATGTACTGTACCTTTACCAGCCTGCGCTTTCCACCTTTCTCTATTCTGATAAACCTCTTCGTTCCACAAAGCCTTGAAGTTCTTAATGTCCACCGTCAGCAGAGAGCTTTGTCCTGACGAGCTGCTGTCGGATCCCATGCTCTTCACACTGTGCCTCTTGGCGTCGTCTGAGGTGATACTGTTCAGACTAGATGGAAAATGTATAGGGAAGCAGGGAGTTAAACAAGATGAAGACTGCCAGCATGTTCACAAAGACAAATGTATTCAAAAGTATTGAACAAATTAAATGTTGACTAACAACGCAACAATGTTATGTGTTGATATTTATGAACATCAAAATGTTGGTTTTATACATTTTATAACATAAACAACTTTTGCAAATATACATAATGGGAATGCCTTTGATTGGTCCTGGCCCTGACATTATCTAACCCTAACCATCTCACCACTAGTCATAGGAAAAATAAATCACATTTCAAGCGCACATTTATCATAGGCCTAAAAACTTTTTTTGTCTTCCTCCTGAACATTAGTCTGTAGTTTGGTATGCTGAGATAAACATCAATACGTTTTGGGCACAGTCTCCTCTGTGACCCGACCAGCCCATGAACCATATTTGGAAGTTCAACTTCGTTCACATTCTTCCTTTACATTCGTGCTGCGGTCGCAGCTGGATATAGTATTTTCAAGATGCAGGGATCTGATGAAAGATGCTGTCAAGTTGCATTATGGGAAATGTAGAACACAGGGTTTATTGAGTCTGACACATACTAGGAACCAAAAGGCAGAATATCTTGCCCTCTGCGGCTTCAATTTTGACCCTTCTTTTTCAAATGCCCCCCCCCCAACTTCATGGAAGTGCACTATTTTGCTGGGATATGAATGTCTGAACACAATTTCATGGCAAATGATTATCCACATATTTGAAAGCACAAATGTTAACCTCATGGTGGAGAAGAAAAGCCAGGGGACAGGATTCATCGTCTGAGTACTATGAATGTCTGCACTCAATTTCATGGCAATCCCTCAAATAGTTGTTGAGATATTTTAGTCCAGAACATCAAACCCACAGGCCGACATTGCCATCCATTTGTGATGTAACTAGCTTAGCTAAAAAAAAAACCCTGAACTTTCAGATTCAGTGGCAAAGAAGAAGAAAGGAAGAAAGGTAGATAACCAGCGGCAGATCAGACACAGTTACAGCTGATTGAAAGCAGCTATAAATGCTGTGAAATAACAGTCCTAGGAAACACATAAGCACCCAGGTGTGTACATACACAACGAGACTGCACAAGTGGCAACACTATCTGAGATTTCCACTTGGTTAGCTTCGACTGGAGGCCCACTGAGTGATGCTAATGACTGCTGTTGTGGAGAACGGGGAGGCTGATATTGATGTGCAGGTGCAACGGAAGATGCAGACTCCCCAAGTAGTGCTTCATTTTCTAATGAGTTCACTTTAAAAAGCACAAAGTTTAAACAAATAACAGAGTCAAATTATCTTTTTCAAGATAGTTTAAATATTAGTAACGCAAGAGCTAGTGGAAAGTACTTTCCTATTTGTTTAGTTTCAAAGCCTTGCATATACCTGATTTAGTAAGTGACTGGAGGAAAAGTACTGGGCCAATTAATTAAACCAGTGGAGATGAAATAATTTCCTTTTGTTTCTCGAGAGGGTATTGTGTATGCCAATTCAGCACTGAGGCCCATTCTTGATCAGGGACAGAAAGGCGAACTTGACTAGCATCTCTAAAATATCAATTTCAAGGTGTGTGGCTCTGGCTGATGAAAGGTGGAGACATTTCCATGCACAGAAATGGATTACTCATGGAAGACTCATCTGCTGTATGCAATACTCCCATTAGATATGCTGTTATTGCAGAAGAGCTGTTGAGGTTTAATCACATCACTGCACGAGCAGTTACTCAGAAAGGTATGAGAGGCGGGTACAAACAGTAACTTTTCCATCTTTGATTAACCAGGCTGGTTGATTAAAATTCACTGAGATATGCACAGTGTCACCCACTTCCTTCTGCTGACAAGCTTGCAAGAATCCAAACTTTTTGTTTCTAAATGATGTCTCAGAGAATGCGCTGCAGCTCACCTTGAGCGTCTAAATCCAGCAAAACCTGCATGGGAGGCCTCGTCAATGAGCGGCGTGACAATACGTTCCGTCATGTCCGTCAGGACAGTGAAGGTGGGCACCACAATGAAGTCTATGAAACCTGGAGACACACAAGTATCAGAGAACATAATGTCACTTTATACATATATACATTCTTTATTTAAGTGTTTGAATCGAAAAAAAGAAGCCCAGAACAATCACATAACGCTGGAATTTATAAAAATTCAGATTAAAAAATAAGTCCACAGGTATTTCCTGAATGTTAGAAAATGATCAAATCTGAGATACAAAGAGAGTATTTAGGTGTCAACCCTGTCAAGGACTAATCTCCTTTTGTCCCATGTCCATCTCACTTCTCAAAATCTTTACAGTTGTCCCATTCACTTGATCACTAATCAAATCTTTCTTTTCTTTCAAAATGCAGAAGGTCTGAGCTGACCAAAACGTCTCAGTTGCCTTCAATTATAACTGTGCATTCATAGCTATTAAAGGATAGGTTTGCATTTTTAAGTCTACTTTAAAACAATACTCATATTCCTATGTGTACATTGACATTGGTATTAGTCGCTGTAATGGTCATTCGGTTCATACTGGCTGCAAAGAGATCCCTTCCTAATGCTATTTTAATGTAAGAGATGGATGACAAAATGCAAAAATGCACTCTTAATGCTAAATGTGGGCATTTAGAGATTACGATTTACAAGGAACAAGTGAGTGCTTTGCACATGCTGCCCTGGATTTGGCCTGTCAGGCAACATACAGGCTGGCTTGTGTTCTGTGGTGGAAGATGTTGGGAAGTTGGGCTTTATTAACATCAGAGGAAGGACCGTAATCACTGCTCAGGGCTGACAAAAGTCTTGCTACCTCCTCTGCATGTTTTCTGGTAAAAAAATACATTAATTGTATGAATAATAAGAATATATATAGAATAAGAGAGTAAAGGACAGAGCTGTTTGTATACAGGAACACTAGCAATTTACATTGTACTCACAGAAGCATACTATTATGCAGGCGTTGTACGTAAGGATGGAGGAGCCACTCACCGATCTGGGACTGTGCCACCATTGTGGACTTTCGGTCGCAGAGTGGAGAGAACGGCAGGCCGAGCTCTGCTTCTTTGTCCCCCTGGAAATACAGCAGTTTCCTCAGTCAAAATCATTCTCATTCTTTGGTTTCAACAAAAATGTACCCCACCCTCCAGGCACACACATACACACAACTGACTGGCACTCACATGCAGTACACCATATGCTCACACTTCTATCAACAGGCCTTGGATATGTCTGGACCCCGCCCCAAGTGCTTTTGGGCCACAAATGTGTTTCATTTTCTCTTCTGATTTGTCACAAACAGATGAGATGTGGAGTCGGGAGGCAATGTTCTTTGAGAAGCTATTTATCGGCAATTCATATCCCGAGAGACAAAGGCCTTGCGAGAGCAGCCACAATAACAATAGCACTAATAATGAGAACAATGTGGATTAATAATGGAAGAGATGAAAGCAATGGAACCAGTCAAACCTCTGTCCTTCTTGTTGACATTTACAAACACACAATTTATTATTTATAGCTAAATGCATTGTTTTATCAAAGAGGTTTTGTTCTTCATTTGAATCTGCAATGGCACTTTGTCATGGCATTATTTTTTTAAATGTCAGTGAGCTTCAGTGCCTGCAATTAAACTTATGAATATGACTGCATATATCACTAAAGTAAAGTGCTTTGGGGGGTAGAGTTTTGCCAAAGCCCCCTAATATCATTGTTATTTTGTTATTGGTGTTACACTACAATACATGCATGGGACTGAATTGGAAAAATAAATAGCTTTGGCTGACATCCAGCCGACAAGCAGTACAATCCTGAAAACCAGCACCAAAGGAGCGTCAGAAAGCAACATAAGTGTCCTACTATTTTGAGAAAAAAGATGAATCAACTCTACTTCAAATGGAGTGTTTCATCTTTTGGCAATCCTAAGAAATCCTAGGAAAACAGTTCCTCCAATACTCCACAGCTGCTCCAGTAGAATATATGTTTTCACATAGCAGGAAAAGCACAGGTGTAATTTAAACAACAATGAACATTCATTCTCAGCTTTTGAGCCAACGTGACAAATTCCATGAAAACCTGGCGAACTCAATCTGACACGAACAGCGACTAAATGGATTGTTTTGTCCACAACGTTAATAATGTCTGCTTTTTATTTAGGTTTTCCAGCTCAAGGGCCCTAGAGTTTTGCATGCTAACTTAATGGCATTGTTTACTGGGACACTCAAATGGAGTGGTGACATCATTAGTGTTTCTGTCTGACTGTTTCAACTGTATGGTAGAATTATATTGCATTATACTATGAAGGTGTTTTTAATAATAAGTCTAACTCCATCGATATAAAGGGAAAGTGGACAAAATACTAGATTTAATGTAGGATTGTTGTACTAGACAACATTGGTTATATGGCATGCATTAGTTATAACTATGTATACCTAAGATCCGGATCCATCACACCCTGGACACAACCTGTTCCAACTTCTCCCCTCTGGTAGACGCTACAGAGAATTGTACGCCAAAATGAACAGACACAGGAAAAGTTTCTACCCACAAGCCATCATTATGACAGGAACAATCTCTGTGCAATAACCCTGTGACTCAAACATACACTGTACCTTTAAATTATTTATTTTCATTGCTTAGATTCAGTTTTCTTTTTAGAACACATAAATATAATCACTAAAAACACAATGCATGCTGTTCATATTGTATATATGTACAGATATGTTGTGTGTATATATAACACAAATATCTGTACATAGTCGTTTATCTGTAGTAGTTCTCTCTGCATGCATCTGAACCTCACATCTTCACTGGACCAGCCACTCATGATTTACTCTGTGACCTGCCTGGTACACCCACTCACCTGTCTGAAGAACTCCTCCAGTAGGGAGGTGGTCCAGCGATGGTGGAGGTCCCAACTTTTGGCTGGATGGCTGATGTCTGCTGTGTGCAGCAGCAGGGACAAGGCTTTGGGCTTGTCAAGGCTGCAAAAGAGATGAGACAAGAGAGCAGATTTTTTAACACAATATAAAAAACTTTAGTCTGCCACAGAGTATCATTCATTTGTCATGTTGTTTTCTTAAATTATCCTGTACACCGGCGTGTAGTGTTGAGTTTTTTTTTTAACAGAAAAAGCAGCCAAGTTAACAGTTAACAAATCTCTACAAAAAAAAAAAAGCATAACAGGCGCAGCAGAAAGGTTCTGGAGGTACCCTAATAATATGAAATAAGATCACTTTTGTGTAAAAATACACCTGTATGTGGTAGATCCAACCTCTGCATCAACTACACCATCAAGACAAACAGACTTCCAGACAAATCCCCCACAAGGATATTGAACAATATCAGTCGGGAGAAGGATACAAGAAAATGTCCAAGGCACTGAGTGTCCCTGAAGACAGTAGGGTCAATGATAAAAAAAACTGACAAAATGTGGCACAGGTGCAAACACATCTACAGCAATCTGTTCACAAAAAATTGACTGTCTGTACAAGAACAGCACAATAAAATATTAAAAAGTCAAGGAGGGGGAATTTTTCTATAGACACTGAGCAGTATATGCTCAGCATGGTACCAATACTGCCTGTTTCAGGGTTTCTACCAGGGTAAAAATGTCTCCACTTTACAACTTGTATGTCACACTTACAACAACCAAATGTCAATGTTCATGGTTATTGTTTTCAAGATAGAATGTAAACCTAGCCTTTAAATGCAACATGTGCAGAACTGGATACAGTTACTAAGACATTACAAGATAGAATTGGGGCATGGGGTGAAAATGTTGCAGGCCATTACATTTAGTGCAAAGAATCTGTAGTGCATAGTAGCAGTATAAACCCCCCATAGCTGCAGGTTACCTAATAAAGATGCATAGATATTAGATGTTCGAGATGTAAAGCATCCTTAAAACATAATAATTTCTAATTAAAGGATTGTTGATATTCTGTATTTTTTATATTGCCAACAAATCCCATGAAATACCAAAACCAACAATGTGTTAGTTTCTCTCTTGATACTTCTTGGACTTCCCTAACCACAAGCCCATTTGTTTCTATTGAAAATAAATAAAATCTTTATAAATGGCTAACAAATATATAGTTGCTGTCACATTTGCAACATGAGCAAATAGTGCATCCGTTAGGGACTATTGCCAGTGGTGAATTAACACACATTTGGTGTATGTGGGATTAACTCAAAATAAACTACATTGTTTCTGTTCATGGCAATAGAGAAACCAGCCAGTACAACAGTGTAGCTCATTGATGTGTTTTTAATAGCTTTTGGGCAACAATGAACCTCTATGGAACAGAAGACAATACTTAGTATTGTATTATTGTGATCAATTCATTGTTGGTTTTGGTCTTTTCATGAGATTTGTTGACAGTAAGACATCCTTTAAGTGTTGTGATGGCACTGATCTCATGGAGGCACCCTCAAACTGCTTATTAAACAGAAGCTGACATATAAATAGACATCTACTAAAGTGCAGACAGACACATTCATAGCCACCTAAAAACTGAGAAACACCTCCATCCAAAAGGAGAGAAAGACAAAAAAAATCCCCTCTCATCAAACTGCTTCCATTAAGCTAATCGGTTCTCTACACTGGAACATAGTGTGAAGATGCTTCATTTCACCTCATCAGACATCAGTGGTGTCGGAGATTTCACATGATAACCATATCAAAATATTATGTTTAATGGACTGGAGCATGAATTGACAGACGTATACTAATATGGAAAAGAGGCACATAAATGAAAACGCACACACAGACACACACATAGACACACACAAGGTTAAACAGAGGTGAGAAGGACTAGTTCAAATTTCCCCTCATTCCATTTGTGGCAGATTGGGTCTTAAAGTGCACTCTAAGCAGGCCTGGAGCACATGGGTTTGAAATTACTTCACATTAGAGTCTATTCAGCATTACAGCTGCCTGCAAACTGCAATCTCTCATTCATGTGCATGAGCGTGTACCCTATACTGTAGCTTCATGATTACCTTCCAGTCAGCACTCTTTGGTTTTGAGGTATATTCACATATATAGGAGGCATAACATTGTTGATTCCTACACATGCTCTCAGGAAGCTGCTTATTTCCATATCACTGCTTTCTGAGCAGGTTTTAGTTTTAGTTTTCTAGTCGTGACAAGTGCTGTGCTTTATCACAGTAAAAAGAATAGCCTGAAGGTCAACTAGTTTCTTACAGCCTTCTCATCAGTGTTGCAGCCGCATCAGCAGTGGTGACTCATCACGTCATATGATAGTTTGCTTGATAGCTCTTTTTTATTTCTGTTTGCAAACGGCAGTTCTGTGTCTGCATGCAGAATAGCCCCAGCTGTCAGTCTTTGTAGAGGGTGCTCAAAATGTGAGAAAAGGAAGTTCTGGTTGTAGTCTGATAACCTTGGCTGCAGCAAAAAAAATAATAGAAATATATATATAACATATTCACTACCTGTTTCGAATTCACCTGGCCTTGTCTTCCTCAAATTGAGTTCAATCTGGCTGAACTTCCACATGCTAATTTATGTACTTAATATAATATTTTTAATTTGGGGGATTTGGGGGGTCCACTGTACCAAGTGAGACTCTCTAGCGACCACTGTGACCTGCAAGGCAAAGGTCACGTGATAAACAGAAGAGAGGAACAGAGAGGAAGGTGTCAGGAGGTTACTTTTGGGCAGTCTTACTAGCTTGTCTACTTGCACTGTAAAAAATGTAAACACAGAAAATCCAGATCTCAGGAAAACATGCTAACAGCTTAGCTCATTAGCAGAAGGGCTAGCTTAGCTACTCCCTTCATCACATGACCTTCGCTTTGCAGGTCATAGGGGTTCCTCAAGAGTCTGTGCAAAAATAATAATAATATTATAAACAAATAGAATATATCCTTGCTGTATCTCGTTTAATTCATCTTGTGGTCTATCTTGTATTATTGTAAAACTAAATTCCTCCAACTCTCTTTGAGGTCTGCTTTGAATTACATGTGCATTTATTTGGCAGCCTTCCTGTTTGGTCTCCTAAACATTTTATTTGATCTACAGAATTAAGTTCGATTTAACTGTGGCAATCTTAAGAAGTCAAACTGTGTGTTTCAATCTTAAAATAATTAAGTTTTATTAAACAATGATATGTGGGGAGCTTGTGATCACATCCCTAACTGAGCCTGATGAAGCATAAGTTTTAGGTTAGTCCAGAGCTGAGATTTTTAGTGTGCAGCAAGCCCCTCTTTTATTTTTGAGTCTTCTCACAACACCTGCACTTGACCAGCACTTGTCTGAATTATACTGCTTTGCTGATTCATGTATTTCAGACTACAAGCAGTAGAACGGGAGTGCTGGTAAAGACAGTATTACATAGTTTATGGAATGTTTAAAGCTGGTCATCTTCGCTATAGCAGCCTACAGTGTGCCAGCAAGTCTGCCAGCAATATTTCTACCACCGGCTGTTTTTCACTGCAGTGTGCAAATAGATTTCACCATGCCAAATCCGGTGTGACTGCAACATAACTCTACTGCAGACTTACAGCACAAAAACACAAACTACCCTGTGTTTCTGCCTAAAAGGGCCCGTAGTAATACCCTACTGTATAGCTGTACTGGGTAATGGATGACATTTGGTCCTATTTGGTAACAAAATACTACTTTGAGTAAAGAACACCTAAGCAAAAGATATCATTCCTTGTTTATTTCAGTCGATTTGATATCAACATGAATGTTTGTTGTGTTCCTCTATGAGTACACCCTTCAGGGCAGGGTTAATTGGGTTGTAAACAGCGGGTGGTTAGTAAGCAGGGATCTGATGGCAGGGTTAATGAAGATGGAAATTGCTGGGGCAAGGGCAACGAGTGTAAACAGTGGCAAAGAAAAAGGCAACTGACCCCTCGGGTTGTTGTAGGAAGTTTTTCATGGCCTTCACCTGCTGGAAGTGGCAGGACATATCTGTTGCCAGCACCATCTCCACCACCAGAGCTCGCAGCTCTCTGGATAAAAACAAAGGACAGGACAAAAAAAAGGAAAAAAACATAAGCCATGTGCTGTATAATGAACTGTCAAACTCGAGGGTAATAAAAGCCGACTTATTTCGGAAGTCAGTAAAGTAAATGAAAGGAGCCAACACAGTTTTTGAGAGCTATTTATAATTTCTGCTTTGACAAGTCCCAGCTTACACCATGAGAAATCGGATTGCAGCTGTCGCCTTTAATGTATTATCATACGTAACGGTTCCATTTAGAACAAAGTTGTTGGACCTTGAAGGTAATCCAACTTTTCTGATTTTCACTTCACCAAACATGGTTGTTAATCTTGAAAAATCTGAGATAAGTTCTCTTTGGGCTTTGAACAGGTAATATGTACATTGTGAGACTGTTCTGCTTGACCTGGCTGGTTTCCACCTGTCATATCTGCTTATATATCTGTCTCTAGCTGTTCTCTACCAAATCTCTGTCACTTAGCTCTTTATTTTTTTTTTTACTCCCTTTCCATTGTTGTCTGTCAACCTCCTCACTGACCTCCAGTCATCCTTGGAGAGGTTGTAGAGGATGTTCATCTCATCGTCGTCCTGCAGTAGGCGGTAGGCTGCGCTGACATGGTGACTCTCCAGCACTGAGCGGTCATTGTACAGGATAGCTGTGTCTGACCTGTCAAAGAGAAAGAGAAAGCAAAAATCTTTCATTGATATATATTGGAAAGAACATTAGAAATAGAAGAATAGAAATAATGGACCTCTAGATGCTGCTAATAATTTATCAGCAGGTCTGCTGAAAAAATAACACAAGAAGGGTTTATGCATTACCTTTACTGTTCTTTAAAATATATAAAGCAATATTCACAATGGCATACTGGATGTATGCAATAAAAAATGATAAGAGAGACGTTCTAAACTTTTTTTATGAATGCTTAAACCAAATGAGAAAAAGAAGAAATTTGTGATGATAAAGATTATCTGGTTCAGTGAGGGTAAATTTGTGAATTTGTTTCAAAATAAGACATGTATCAAGTACATAAAAGGGCAATATTATTTATATAAAGTTTCAAGAGTTTAACTTTAAAGTAGTCTCGCCAATTTTATGAAGACTTGTAGAAAATCAACAACACAAAGTTGTATTATAAAAAGAAGGATACATTCAAGAATAATATAGGATATAAAGGGTCAACAAAATGAATAAATTATAACCTAAAGTTTTGTTGTTATGTGTTCTTTCCAACTCAAATTCTTAAGGGCATGAAGTTTGGAGCTCATTTGGACTCCCTTCCTGCCTCAGTGTTATTACTGCACTGCAGGCGATCTCAGTGTCAATGTAAAGCCCCCTTTCTATAAATGAAAACATTGATCGGGTGAGTCGGTGCCATGCATTTTTAATTTTATGATCCATTACCTTGTCTGAATGTGGAAGTTGTTTGTGGTCCCCGTATGCTCGTAGTCGTGCACCGCCGCCGCAAAGATCATGGCAAAGATCTCAAGCTCAGTCAACCAATGCTGGAGGCAAAGGAAGAGGAGACGAAGAAGACGAGGGGGGAGGGAAGAGGTGGGGTGTGAGGAAGCAAGGGGAGGTTGAAGATAAGGTAGGAGGAGATGGAGGGGGATATTAAGAGTATGTAAGTAGTATATAGAAAAGGGGAGGGTGTTGAGGAGGGGAAGCAACGAGATGGAAAAGACAGATGTGGACAGAAAGAAGGAAGGGGAAATAATGAACACAAGATGAAAGAATGGACAGAAATTAGAGAAGAGAAATGAGAAGCCAGTGAATGGAAAAAAGGGGAAAGCAGGGAATGGTTCATCACGTCATAAAGATGTAAAGTAGAAAAGTGATATAAAGGACGCCGAGAGAGGTATTTGGCATGAGGAATACATTACAGTCAGGGATGAAAGGAAACAAATGGGGAGGAGAAGATAGAGGAAAGGTCAGCAAAGCAAAAAGGAAACTTTAGATAAGACAAGCTCTATTGAGAATCACATTTTAAACTGTCGCTTTAACACTCCTCCTTACTCTTTCCCTTTCAGACACTGTCTCAGTCTGCTTTGTCACTGTTACCAAATATAAATGAAAAAGTCATGCTCTCTTTAATTTTATTAATCTTGTCACAAGGTAAGACACATCATGCTTTTCCTATTTAGGTCAAGTTTAAAGAGGAGGATGTTAAAGTAGCAGCAGCTCTTTAGCTCATCATTTTGGGAAATACTCGTTTTCCTGCCAAACGTTACTTGAGAAGATCAATACCACTCTTATGTCAGTCTGTATTAAATATGAAACTACAGCCAGCAGTCAGTTAACTTAGCTTAAGCTTAGCACAAAGACTGGAAGCAGGGGGACAAGGGTCTGGCTAGCTGTGCTCAGCACATGCATACACACAGACATTTTTACACTTCAGTTTTTGTATGGATTAAAGAAAGGAGATAAAACGTAGGTGGATTTTATGACCTTCAAACAGAGCTAGAATAGCTGTTTGCCCCTCTTCCCAGTCTTTATACTAAATTAAGCCAACCAGCTGGTGGTGGTAGCTTCAAATTCACATTTTTATGTTCAGACATTCACAAGCAATAGCCAGTTTGGTACTGCCCAGCATTTTTTATTCAAGACCAAAACCAATTTTCCAAATAAAATGCTGTGTGAGTTTTAATAACCAGTAGATGTCACAGATATACTACATTAAGCTGGCATGGAGCCATTTACAATCGAAACTATCCTGACTATCTGGTATAACAATTATATTGTATGTGTGTATTATTCCTACAGCCATAGGGTGCAGCTGGCTCCATGCTTTAGCACTGCTGGTGTGAATTCACCGGGGATGCAGGCTCACAGGAAGAGAAATGTGCAGCCATTCAATGACAAGAAGGAGATTTGGATTCAGTGGTTGTTTGAAGAAGGAGTCTATGTTATTTAGATATTTCGTTTTAGTTTATATTTAAAAATTCAGTCAGCACTTTTTTGTCAACATATTTTACCTTTGCTATGGAAAAGAAAGTTATTGACAAGTATATTTTGTCTAAATTAGCACTACAGACATGAGAGTGATAACCTGACTGCACCAGATGGTTTGTTACACAGAACCATGGGAAAAACTCTTACTGAATCCATTCAGGAGAATATACATATTCATAAATATACATATTTTTAATCCAGAAGTGCTCTTCTTTAAAATGAAGAAATACTCTTAGATACTAGATACTAGCAGTATCTATGCTACCCTCTTTAGCAGCTGCCTTTGTTGTTTTCAAGCAGTCACTTCTCTCTCACATCGTCACACACACCTAGTGTTAAAGTGCCAGTACTGCCAATAGTTCCTCATAGGACGCTGATTGGTCTGAATAACTTTTACAAGAAAGTGAGTAAGCATATTTCCCAAAATGTCGCAGTATTCCTTTAACTGCCAGAAAAACGGTAATTGTGAAAATTGTGTTTCTTCATATAAGCAACACCCACATAACCACCTGAAAAATAAAGACATCAGTGGCCAAAAGAATTTGAATTATATGGACTGTATAAGCATGTGTGTGCATGTATATGCTTTTTATTTATGGGTGTTCATGTTTAATCTGCGAGTGTATGCAGCAGCTGCACACCTGTGAGTGGGCATTTTCCTTTGAGATGTGCATGCATCTGAGTGCACTCACGTACACAGAGTGGGGATTTAGCTCAGGAAGCCCAGTCGATATTGGTGACTAATCAACAGTGGGGGATGGGGGAGTCATTAAGAACAGAGGGGAAGGGAGGGGGCAAGATGGCCGATCCCTCAGTATATTTCTTCATGGGGCCGGCTTTATGAATGACCTGTTGATTGTTGATTTAATGGAGTCTGGAGGGCCCACGAAATGATAGATGCTGTTCTCCTGCTCCCCCAGGAGCCCGTAGTTCTAGCAGTAATGTGGTTTACTCTGCAAGGCACTGCCCAAAGAAACACACTATGTCGACAGCTGTCGCAGCCGCCTTATTAAGGTGATTAAATAAAAACACTGGAAGCGGGGGCGGCCGGCTGGTTGGCTGGTTGGGGACTTTGAACTCTTTAGCGAGGCTAGTGTTTTTTTTTTTGGAATGAAAGCAGCATCAGAAATGCCCTAAAGTCACTCTAGTGGGATGGAGGGAAATATAGGTTACCAGATGGAAAACGAACAAAAGCAACTTGAAATTTGAAGAGTAGAAATGAAGCAAGCAAAAAAAACAGAAAACATTTGACTTCAAATGTTGGACAATAACCATTAATAAGTCATATTTTGACAGATATTCTTAAAAATGTGGGTTGATTTTCTCAAACATGCCCCGAGCAAGACTGGGATTAAAGGGTGATTTTCTTTGGGTGTCTTTTTCTTTCATGAAAGAATGGCTCACGGATTCTCCAAGAAAAAAATCCATATTTAGCAGCTGCATGTCAGGCAAAGCTGCAATTAGGCTGGCATTCGGCAGCTGACAGAGATGTTCTGAATACCATGTGGATAAAATCCTCTTTATTTCACAGACTAAGCTTTCCTCATTGGAACCAAACCAACGGCCATAGGCTCAACTGGTTTCTGTAGGTTTCTAACAGCTATGTGTACAGTCGATCCAACTCACCACCATGCCAGTCTTGAGTAGCAAGTAGTGTACGGTCTGTGTGACATCAGCAGCGTGCATCAGGTTGTGGTAGGGGTTTTTGTGTTTGCTGTATCCCACTTCAAGGGCCTCCACGAATGACACCACCGCAGAGATCGGGATCTGACGGCAAACAAAACAGCAGCACATGACTGCGAGCTAAAAAGCATTGCAAACGGTAAGAAACTTCTTAAAGCTATCTGGTGATTTTAATGATAAGTGCATACAATTTCAATGCATGCACAGTCCCCTCAGCATCTGAAATTGATGTCATAAAATCATGGATCGTGAATCATTGAGGCTATAGCAGACTGCGATTACATATTCATGTCGGCTTCATTTCATTGCCCATGTCGTTTACTCTCAGATGCTGTCACTTCAAGTGCAGTGTCTTCAGCTATAAGACGCTGTGGAAAATGAGCTCCAGTATCAGATGAGATGAAGTATGTCCAACCCCCCTCATATTATGGTCATTGTTTAAATAAAACATCACAATCTAACACTTAAAAGGCAGAGAAGTTGAGTGTGCTCACTTCTATCAAATCAGGCATGTCGAAAGGGGACTGTGAAGGTTATAATGATCCATACTGAATAGTTTCAGTTTCTCCTTGTCTAATGACACAAGCGGGAGGTATAGCGTATAGTGACCAGTCGTACGTCCTTGTGGGTTTTACCTTGAAACGGCTAATGAGGTCATATCTTGTGAGCAACTCGTAGAATATGAATTTAAGTGCGTGATCCCCGCTGGCCTCATTTAGAGCGAACACGTCAAACGACCACTTGTCAACATTCTGTGTGGGGAAGAAAAAATTCAAATAATGACATGCTTCCCCTCAAACAATGTGCTCATCATCTCCAAGTGCTGCAAGTTAGTTTCTTGTCAGTAACTCTGTGTGCTTCTGCATGGATTTGTGTGCACATTTTAATACCTTGAGCACAGATATGACAGAAGAGGGGTAGCTGAGTCCCACCATATTAGAGGTACGTCGGTACATCCTGTTTGGAAGAGATAAAAACATCAAATGAAGCACACCACTGAGTGTAAACACCAGAGGTTACCACACCAGCCCCCAAAAACCACAGCCTAGAAGGTTCCCCACCAAGACTCTATAAACCTTCAAATCAACACAACTCAGTATGAAACTGTGTTGAAAAGGTTGAGAAAAGGCAACAGCACCTGCAGGTCTTTTTTTCACATGCAAAAGGTTTAAGATTTTGTCAAATATGAGGGGTGGAATATAGATTATTTTAATCACAATGTGCAGTTGTATAATTCTCCATGAGATTAGTGGAGTTGTTAGGGTTGGCTGGAAGGCAACTAATGCTCAACATCTCAAAAACATACTGGGATACAAGTAGATTTCTCATAACAGCTTCCATATATGCAACTGAATATCAAGTTGGCCATTTTGTCAGATGAGGACATTTTTTGGAAATTTAAAATGGCGGACACCACATGCTTTGTCACATGCTTTGTGGAAGAGTGGACCGCACTCTTCCACCTTTTCATTTTCATCCTCCCTTTTCCAATCTTTCTTCATTGTAAATATCTGAAAGCAGGCTGCCCTCTGTAAAAACAGATTAAGAAAGATTATAGCTTACATGTTTGAAGCTTATTGATTTGAACAAATGCATGTTGCATGTTAGTGTGTGATAAAGCACAGCCTTGGAGAGGAAGCTGTTTGCAGCTCTATGAATGATTGTGCTTAGCCAGGCTTGCCAAGGCTGTGATGATGTATGGTCGACTCAGGTGAGTGAGTCACTGTGCAGAGGATGCACACATATTTCCAACAGACTGGAATTTTAAAAGGACCATTTTAGTTTTCAAAACTGTACTGTCTTCTCCACCTTCTGGGCTGCCTTTAGTTTTCATTCACTTAAAGCAACACACACGTTTTGACAAGACATGAGAAACACACATGAAAGCAGACATTGTCATTTTGCGCCATCATTGACGGATGTTTTGTTGCTTTCAGATCTATAAAATGTAACACATTGCATTGTGTGATTGTTAGAATTGTTGTAGCTCTGTGCTTGTGCATCATACACATGTTTACCTCTCAACAAATATGCCAGCCTGGACGGCGTGGACAATGCTGCGAAAGCGAGGTTTCTCTTCATTGCGTCGCAGCATCAGGCCCATCTGACGGGTGAAGGTGGAGGCCAGCCAGTCGCGCACCTCTGAGGGCACCGACTCTGACTGGATGTCACTGAGCTCATCCTCTGTGTCCACCAAACGCCTGAAAGATGGTAGAAGGAAGGACGTTAAGTAAAAGACAGGAAAACAGACAGCTTGCAGAGACTAAAGGCTTACTAAAATATTTATTATTTATCGTAGCACAGGGGATCAAACTCAAATCCCAGTGCTGTCCATCAAATAATATCACCTCTTACGTAACATCAAAACATCCCCGGCCTCTTAAACAGTGTTTCAACAGGGGAGTATTAGAATCCGATTGTGATATAATTCCCTACAGCTACCCTGTTTTGTTGACATGTACAGGGGATCAAGAGCAAAGCCTGTTGGTCTCCACCGTCTGAACTGAATACATGTTCTTATGGCAAAGAGAAAGCATTCACATCACAGTGATAATCACTGTTCTACATGGATTCTGCACTGGATAGTTCATCATCCTCCATCCTGGAGTGGTCATGCCATCGCTGGCCCTAATCTGGTGGGATCTAGATGACGAGAGGCTTACATAATTCCATAAGCCTGGTCATATGTCAGATTCTGGACCTGCATTCAACTATTGACATACTTTCACCTTGTATATTCGCTAACCTTATCCATACCATGACAATTATTTGCCATAACAACAATCTCTGTGTGTGACCTCAGCCAGTTAATGACCTTTTTTTGTTGTCTTAACGTAGAGGCAGTAGAACAGAAAACCCTGTTTTCACTTTGGTCACTGACAACCTGTTTTATTATTTTGTTGTTTCAGGATGAGAAGATGTTGTGTTGTTGTGTGCCCACATTTGTCACAATATATTCAGTGGTGGAAGAAGTATTATAGTCATTTACTTGAGTAAAAGTAGCAATACCACACTAAAAATATTCCATTATACTACTTAAATTAAGAAGTCTTGTATTCAAAATGTTACTTAAATAGAAGCAGTGTGATATCATTATATTACTGAATCATCATTATACATGCATTAACATGTATGCAGTACTTAAATGTTGCAGTTGGTGCAGTTAATTTGAATTGCTTAATATACATAGTAGTAGCTTAATCTATTAAAAACACATTTTATAAACTGATAATATATTTTGTTTGTAAAACCTTAAAAGTAACTAGTAACTATAGCTGTGGAAAAACAGTAAAGGAGTAGAAAGTACATTATTTCATTCTGTAATGTAGTGTAAGTACTTCAGCACAGGGATGAAATGGTTAAAATGAAACTAAGAACTACAGCTCAGGTCAATTGCCATACTAATGATAGTCATCTATTTTCCAAAGTCTGGCCTCTGTCAGTGCTGCGCTGTTGTTCTCAATAAATTAACCATGTGAATACTTTTTCTACCGTAGAATGCTACTGTTTTCTTACCTTGTTTCCTCGATGTAAACGGATTCCAACACCGACGCTGCATACTCAAGGTTTTTCTTGAGGTCAGTCAGGGAAGCCTCTCCTCTCTCCAGTTGCTTCACCAGACATCTTAATCTAAAACAGAGATTCAGAAGTCATTTAACAAATGCAATTACTCTCCTGCCATCTTGACATGATGAATTAATTGCAACTGATATTGGATTAACCTGGTCTGGGTTCCTGCTGCACTAGGCAACTTTTTTTCTGCTAAAAAATAAACATGTATTCTTGGTCTAAATCACAACATGGAACAGCAATAGAAAGCAAACAAAATACAATTTGACCAAGAAGCTGAATTTAATGTGGTCTGGGATATACACACTCCTCCATCAACATAAAAGTACAAACTGTCCAGCAGTTCAACTTTCAATACATTCAATATACTCTCCCTAAAAAATAATAAAATAAGACAATATAGACCAAAAGTAGAGTCAGGCTTGCGCAGTTGCACACTGTTTTCATACTTTCTTCTAGTCCATTTAAGCTCTGATGAGTCTTTTTCTCCTTCTCTAGTGTCTTGATTGGCATAAGTATAAAACTATGCTATAACTTGTCAAACACAGTTGTAATTAATAACATTAATAGTGGCTGCAGTCATCTACATGTGTCAGCTCCAGAGCTCTTGTATTGTGCATGCTGGCTCACTACTGGGACACTTAATTGGAACGAAGCCATCATTAACTTTATTAGTTCCACCTGCTATGAGAAGTCAAAATGTCTCTTGTTTGAAAGGGCTTAATATTCTAAAAACTGCAGATCTGTGATGCCTGCAAACTCAGTACTATTTAGAAGCTCTATGTGCTTCTCCTATGTGGCTTTTGACACCATCATAACTTCATTAGATTACTTGCATAACTGTGTCAGTGTCACTAAATTTGCCCTTGACTGGTTCAGATTCTATTTTTGTAATCTTAAGCCCTACACCAGTAATTCGTAAAGACAGTAAAGAGCTTTCTAAAGTTATTACAGCTTTTATTGTGGTAGGAATTTGTAAGCATTTGCTGGTTTTGTACTTGGAAAAAAAATCTTTTAATTACCGTATATACCAGTTGGTGTTATATTAACTGATTTTACATTGCAGTACAATGAGGAACTTTTCCATCATGCAAAATTGATCATGGTAGGTTTAACTGAAAAAGATTCTGTTGTGTAACATACATGTATTCAGTAAAACTAAATGAATTTAATATTTGACTGATACATTGAAAACTAGCTGGTATCAAAAGTGTAATATTACTGAAATGATAAAACGCCATGTTCTGTGTTATATTTTGCCAAGAGTAATTCACTTGTGGCTATAGATCAATGCGTGTAGCATTATTCCAGAGTCCTAGAAAAGCCCACCAAAAATAGCACTGAAAAGAAAACCAACTTCACATAAATTTCTGCACACTGCAACCTCTTGCAGTATACCTCCTGCTGCTGTGCTGGAGGTCACATGCTCCCCTTCACAGTGAATGCCCACAGAGGCTACGCTGCTGAATTATTAAGCAGAAAGGTGGCAGAGTAGGAGGTTTCAGATGCTCTCATTGATTACATTCCCTGACAGCAGTTGCAATTTTTACCAACTACAGGCCCCAAAATGTTTCTGTGAAGATGACTGAGGAAAAATGTTCAATATTCAATAATGTAGTTTGGCCCATTTTTTTTTTATGGCCAAATTTAGGGTTTGGGCCTGAATGTGTTGTGTGTACAGCAATGAAACACCTTCTACACGTTAACAGATCACATCCTTTTCTACACACTAGCATACTTGCTTTTCTTTTAAATGTACTAAGAAGCCCTCATAATACATAATGCAATCTAACTTGTGTATATGTGGCTGCAAGACTTCAAAGTGAACCAATAGCATACTGTCTGCTGTGCAGTAATATCAGATGGAAATTGCTGAAAATAATCTGGGTATTTCCCCACCAAGTCCACCCCTGCAAAAGAGCCACACAGTCATCATTTCCATATTCATGCAGATGTCTAATGAGAAGAAAGATGTTTAACAAGACTAAAGGCAAAGCCAAGTGGAAAACCTTTTAAGAAGCTTTTTTGACTTTGATTCACCCGTGTGTCTCACTGAGGAGATACGCTTCCATTTGATGAAATGTATAACACCACACTTACTGACTCAGCTGTTTAAATCACACACCTTTTTTGCTGTTTATATGTTTTTAACTTATTAATGTTATCTACAATGACTGATCAAGGCTCATGGTGTCAAGAAAAAGGCAATAAATTCAATGAATCAATACATAAAACAACCTTGAATTCTTCCTGCAGAGCATGCATGAAAACTATTATAGTAAATTTCTGTACCTAAAAGTACTGCAAGTAACTTTTAACTGGTTATGAAACAGTCTCAATATATTACCCATGCCTCAATATGACCTACATAAACAAACAAGACTATCAGTGAGAAAAGTGGCTATCTCTATAGTTATTCTTAATGCCTGCCACTGGGTCGGATTTAATTGGATTCCCCTTGAATTCAATGAAACAAGGTGGTAGAAACACTACTGCTTTTGTCCACAGGGGTTGCTAGAATCAACACAAAATGAAAGTTCCTGATACAAGCTTTATGCACAGCGATGCTAATTCCTAACATTAATAATGTTATCATACTCATTATAAAGATAGCTTGTTGTTTGATGAGGTATAATGATCACCATCTTAGTTTAACTAAACACAAAGTATTTGGTCACAAATTAAAGGACTGGACACACTGATATTAAGAGCTGATGGTAGCACTGGATGAAAAGCCAGATGATCACTAAAGTTATTACAATTCATCCTGAGAGGCAATCCATTTATTAGTTGCTGAGACACAAACCTGCTTGTGGCACTGCCGGAAAATTCAAAGGATAGTAGTAGATTTACTTCAATAATCCCCAATGGGGAAATTGTTTTATTACTCAAGGTTTACACTCATAGGCCCAAAATAAAGTCATGATGACACATTGTCTGACAACCTGACAATTTTCATGGCAATCCATCTGATAGTTGCTGAGATATTTCAGTCTGGACCAAAGTGGTGGACCAACTGACAGAGTAACATTGCCACCCCTAAAGCCATACCACTAGAGTTGCCAAAAATAAGTGTTTTTAAATCCAGCATTGTGTACATCCATGTTTACTAACTCAAACTCTTCTTCGTCCTTGCTTTTTCTGGCACACTGCAGCATAGCTTGATTTGTTACCACCATATGTTGATCACTAGAATAGTGTGTCACCATTTGTAGGACTGTGTGTGCATTAGATAAACAAAACTGGGACCTATTCACAATAAAACAGCTCCATAGCGCTACTAGAGGTCTCCGACTCCCCAGGAAACATTTAACTATGACTATTGCTTCATGTTCTGAAATTTCTCTTTAAAGCTACTGACAGCTATTTTAAGTATCATAAGGAACTGAATGGATGAAGGGTAAGCTGCAACTCTAGAAACACTGCACATGTGATTTGGTTGGCACTAATGATGGTTATTAAGAACAGCTGTGTGCCAGTGAGCTTCCCCACTAATATACAAGAAAGGAAAAAATATCCTACCTCCTTCAAGAAAGCTTCTTCTCAGACTATAATTCACCATATAATATTGGAATTTATTCTGTTGCTCACTTGCTTTGATTTTATACCTTGAATCGCAGTTGTGCGGGCACAAATGTGCTCATCTGGAAACCCCATGCTGAATGACAGTAGCACACTGCAAGAAAAAGTTTGTCTCTAATAAGTGCATCTGTAAAAAAGCTTTGTTACAGGATCGCTGCTTTTGTTTGTCTGACAATAGACTGAATGGCCAATAATTTTCTGTTGTTCAGTCAAAAGGTAATTTACCAGATACAGAGCTTCCAGGAGGGCTTTTATAGTGAAAATTAATCCTTTTTTTAAAGTGTTGAGATGAAAGAATGAACAATTTAGAGAAAGAAAGAAGCAAAAGTGAAAATCTGATACAACCATTAAAAAATCTACTTTGTCGAGGGTGTATGCTACTGAGTGAATTGGGCTTTTTTTTAAAAACTAAAAACAAAGACTAGTGATGATGAGTCGAGTGCCAGGATATACAATAAATCAATGTCTCTGCCAAGCAAAACAAAATTGGCTCATTTCACCTGCTGTCATTACCAAGGGAGGCGACACGTGGGGTTAATAGCGGGTGTCAGGCCCAAAGTAACTCCTGGGCACAGAGCCAACTGGGAAATTCAGTTTAAGCCAGAGAAAAAGCTGGTAGGGTAGAAGAGCAACAGCCATGTCATTTGCTATGGCTGAACACTTAGTGGTGAGGCAGTGAACTCATTTCACAATTCCTTTCATTATCAACTTCTCACTCTCGATTCATGGGAAAACAGCTTAAACGTAGTTTTCGAAGTCCTCCAGAGGATCTTAAAGAGAATCTATTTTCTGTAAGATCAGAGTTTTGTAAAGTGAAATTTAACCACATGGATTAAAATAGTTAATGAAAAAGTTAAAGTAATAACAGGCTGAAGGGATCAAGACATATGCTATATAAACATTACAGTAGATGCTTTTAGGGCTGTAAATAAGACTTATTATCATTATTATAATCATTTGATTATTTCACATAAAACAAAAAAAATATTACAATGATGATAAAAAACTGCAAATCAGAAGCTTTACATTTTAGTAAACCATTTGGTAAGTACTGATGAAGCAGATAAAGTTATTCAGCAGTGATACTGTAGAGCACAGTGCAGGTAGAAATATAAATGTAAATACTGGCACTGGAGAGTGCAAAAATATAAACAGAAGATACAATAAGTGTATATAGGCTATTGCTTTGAAATACATTTTGCTCAAACTACTATACTGAGAATATTGCTAATACATATACATGAGATATAGCTGACAGCAGTGATAAATATGATGAAGGTACTGAGTTGCTACTATGTGTGACTTCCAACAGACAGCACAGAGATTACAAGCCAAGCTTTAAATATGGCAAAAATATGAAAGTTTGAAACATAGTAGGCATATAGAAGGAGAGGAGTGGTTTTAAGACATTTTTATTCTTTTTCTGCAGCAAGAATTGGTTCACACTGATTTCAGTTGATCTTATCCCTGAAAGATTA